ATCAGCTAGGGTGTTGGCAGACATGGCATTTGTTATGGACAAACTGTGGTTATCACAGAAGTCTAGTAGCAGAGCAGCAGTTGGGTTTCAACTGGGCAGCCTTTTCCTCCCAGTCACACTCTTCCAGGTCTTACTCTCATTACCCACATGATCATTTCTGTCCTCCAGTAGATTAATGGACTCCCCAGAAGGGGTGCCTTCCTGCACCCTACCCACGGTCTCCAAAAATGCCTGATACTCTGAACTGATGTTTGGTGCATAAGCACCGAGCATGATATAGTATTTCCATACACATAGCTCATTATGCTGCCTTGGATAAAGTGCCAAACATTTTTTTTTAATTACAGTGACAATAAAGTCTCTCTGTCTGTCCGTTCATCGGTCTGTCCATCCATCCATCCATCCATCCATCCAGTCCACCAATGAATCAGCAACCTTTTATGAGTTTAAACGTTTCAAACATAACATTATGCCTCTTTAATTTATTTACCAATTACATTTATTTGGATGGATGCACCACCTAATATTTCTTGAGCTACAAAAATGTCAAAACTGTGTATTATTTGAATGTATTGAAAAGATATTCACATTAAAGAGATTTCATACAAAAATGTTAGGCATGCTCTGTATTTATCAAAGGATTAGAAAAAAACGAATGTACTCGCACAGAAAGGAATGCATGTGATATCACTCACCCTTATGTGTGTTAGTTATTGCTATCTCCTTGGGGATCAAATTTCTGGAAAAACAGGGGACAATTTTTGGTGGGACTGTCTGTGTTCTGCCTGGAAACTGCAAGGCTAATACCTGGCAAGTGAAACTTGGTCAGCAAATGAGTCACTAGCGTAATGTAGTATTAATTGTAACATCTTTCTTTTACAACATATGGATCTTGCCTATAAGCCAGATATGATTACACAGGTCTTAAAATGTAAACAGTGGTTTGTTTCGATGACAGATCCCCGTTCAGCATTTTCACACTCGTCTTCATCAAGGCCTCCAGCTGGCACCATCGTTGTTGTATGGTTGCTAGGACAACCGCAGCCGCATATAAACTTGTCTCAGTTCTGCCGGTATTCTTTCCTTTCCGATACATGAGACACAACAGAAATGTGCACAAACATGCCTATATAGTACCATTCGAAGAACAGCAAATTATATTTAGCTGAGAAATCTTTATGTTTGAAAGTTATCAAATAAGCGTTTTGGTTTATAAAAAAAATTCAGCTGTAACAGCATCAATGGGAAATATAGTAATGCTGTTTTTTAAGTGGATAAATCTGTGGAAAACGCTGAGACCCACACCTGCATATGAAGTGTATTAGTGAAAATCCTGCAGGGATCCATCGGGGAAAATTGATCTGTCAGTGGTACTGGGACCCTGGGTGCTTTTCAAAAAGGTATGATTATAAGCCAACCTAGCAACCGGAGTCTGTTGCTAGGAGGCCTTGCAAGACAGGCCAGATAACCAGCACGACACTCTCTGTTTGCCAGATGCTTAGTGCTTCTTGACAGTAAGCGCACCAGTTGGCATATTTTCTCAGGAAGCGATGCAGTGTTTTCTGTGACATGACAGTCTGATACGGAGAGGCCAGACTGTCGATGGAGAACGGCAGGTTCATTGTGTCATTATGTTAATAATGAAAAACATATTAAAGCAATTCAGGATTAGTCACTTGTGAAGAACCCAACGTCTGAGGCCACTATTAGGACCTTAACCTGACAGTGAGGCTCACAGATAGGTCTCTCCCCTTCTCTGCTTTATGGTCTTTTATGGTACTTTATGTAAGTACAGATACTATTATTTTGGGTTTCAGTCTCCGCCAGAGTTCCTTGTGTGGAGTTTGCATGTTGTCATCGTGGGGTTTCCTCTGTGTACTCTGGTTTCCCCCAAAACATGCAGAGGCGGACTAGAATTACCAAATTGCCCAGAGGTGTGTGTGTGACTGTGCCCTGTGATTGGCTGGCACCCCGTCCTGGTTTGTTCCCTGCCTTGTTCCCATAGGCTACCTGTGATTCTGAACAGGGTAAGTGGTTTCAGAAGACAGATGGATTGTTGTTAAGAGCTTTGTTTATTTTATTATTGTTTTCTTCTTATTATTATAGAATAGTTATTGTTATTGTATTAACAAGCAAAGCATCTGTGGGGACTGGTGCCAAAACCCAATTTTTATCCAAACACATTAAATAAGGGACTCTACTTATGTGTCAAAACTCACTAGTCCATATCCCACTGTTGGATAAGTGCAAACAATATACACAGATATTACTGAACTAACTTAAGCTTCATAAATATTACTAATAATGGATTGATTATTAATAGTTACAAGTTATTTTGGTTACTTTTGGCATAGTCAACATTTGGATGCAAAAATGGCGATTTGTGATTCCATATCTATAAAGGTCTGTGTCATATATAATCACAGAAGTCTTGGATTTAACAGTATTGTCAGGAAATTGGACTCGTGCAGCAGCTTTTGGCCCAAACATCACATGATAAATTCCTGCTCTCCCAGAGAAGAAAAGTAATAACAACAGGACAGTTTAAAAAAAAAAAAACTTTATTAAGGCAAAAGATTACAAAACACACAAAGCTGAATAGTGAAAGCTGAACTGCACACAGGGGTGCTGCTCTGGTCTCAGCTACATGCCTCAGTCCATTATGCTGAGGCCCTGTGTACTAAAAGCTCCAACAGGTAGTAATGAGTGAAGCAAAACTCTTGAAGCCTGGTGTGACGCTGACATCTACTGGATAAAATACAGAAATGCACCCAATGCTCCTGACCGAGCGCCTAAGTAATATCCAGCAATACAAAATGGGTTGCTTGTGACAAAATGTGCAACATTGCCACAAATCAGGACACTGAAATCATGCATGACGGATTACTCAAACTGCAGACATAAGATTCAGAGTGTTTTTTATGTGTGTCACTGTTTTACTGTTACAGCTACACGCCTCAGCTACACCTCACTGGAAAGTGCAAAAAGGGCACTTTGAGAGAAATTCTCTGAGAAGCCTCCCCCCCCCCCCAAAACACTCTACATGCTTCAGGCTGCACTTCAGGGATACTTCAAGCTATTTTTCCAAAAGAAGCAGATTAAGAGAGAGATTAGTTTCACTAAGTTCAGAGCTTCCTGACTCCGGCATCCCATTAGAATAAAGACACAATTTTGTTTAATTTGAAATCAATTAAAAAGCACTTTCTTCCTAATTATCTCCCACTACATGGCCTTTTTCAGGCTCACCTGTTTACCTCATGAAAGGGTACAAATAACAGTGCAAGGTTTTATATACATTTAATGAACATACACACGTTTCATTAAGCAAATCACGTGTTACTCTAAGCCATTCATTTTTTTATAACCAAAGGTAGTAAAAAAAAAATGCAGTTTGCGAGATAATTTTGTCAAGGTCAAAGTTTAACATTAGACTTACCCTTTACTCTAGACTTGTTTACTCTTCTTGAGAGTTTGAGATAATAGGAAAAAAAATCCAGCTCATAAAAAAACACTGTGAATTATCTTTTTGCTACCCTGGGTGTAGAAAAGCCACAATATCCACTTTCTGAAATCACTTTTCCTATTCAGGGTCACGGAGGGGTTCAGAAAGGCAGGGAACAACCCAGCAGGGGGTGCCGACCCATCACACGGTACAATTACACATGCACACCTATGGGCAATTTGGCAACTCCAAATAGCCTCAGCATCTGTGTGGACTGTGAGGTGAAACCAGAATTCCTGGACGAAAACCCACAATGACACGGGGAGAACATGCAAATACCCACACACATGGAGATATAGTGGAGACTCAAACCCTGGAAAAGCCCTTTTTGTATCCAGGAAAGCAAACTTGGATTGTGGTAGCAGCATTATCAGCCCTGGTATACAGTATGTAGGGGTGGGAAGCTAAACATGCATAAGCCACCTAACAAGCTACTGTGTGACCTGTATCCATGGGAATGTCCTAAATCTGAAGGAGATCCATCAGAAGCTTTATCCAAACCAGAAGATCCACAAACAGATGGCCTGATGCACTGGAATAAACCCTGAAGAGAATTCTCTGTAACACGGTGACAGGGAATGGAGTGAGAAAAGTGGGCAAATTCCTTTTTTTTTTAATATTTACAAATATTAAACATTTACCTAAACAGTATTCAGGCCCTCCCACACACATATATCCATGCTGTTCAGGACCAAGGGGTCATGTACACACATCTACCATGGAAAATGTTCCTGGGTCAACTGACAAGTCCCAGGTGCAGGAATAAAGCTGATGGAGCAGCAACCGCATGGAAGGAAGTGCATCGTATTAGCAAAAATCATTGAATATGATTCCTCTGCATTAAAGTATCATACATTTCAAATTTACACATCCATTTTGAAACTGAAAGTAATTTATATCATAATATAAAATTACAGAATCACTTAAGTTTTGGGCAAGGCTAATTTTTGAAAAAAATACAACATAAATAGATTATAAATCATAAATCAAGATCCAAATATTCTTATTCACTGTGTACAGGCAAATAGGAAAACATCTTAACATGAAAAGTAAGCAGGCGTCAACAGGGGCTAAATGAAGTACATTTCAAAGTTTAAAAGAATGCGAGTAATATCCAGCAAATGTTGTACAATATCGACATCTGGTGAGAGTAAAGCGTGAAAGGATTTCAAACATAGAATATACAAGAGTTTTTCTGACCTGGCAAACGAAATATGCTTGTATATTAAATACACCTAGCAGTAGCAGATGCAAATGTAACTAAGATCGCACTGGTTCAAGTATTGGAGAGTTCTTTCTGTTATACCTTTGATAAACACCAAACCTGATAAATGATCGAACAAATTAAAATATAATACTTATATAAGTTGAAATCATAAATTTCTTAGTAAGTTCTGAATTGGAGCAAATCTTTGTTCATGAAAAAATGAATTAAAAAACAAAAAACCGTTCCCATCCAATGAAAGTCCATAGTGCTGTGGCTGTGGGGCGGCGTGTGTGACGTCATTTTTATGCGCCTCGGGCTTTGGCGGGAGTTGTGAAGGAGTTGCTGTGTTGTTTTATTGGAAGAAACTGTTTAAAACTTTACATCTTAAAAATAAAACGATGTCTCGCGTGCTGAACTGCATCGTTGCAGTCTGTCCAAACATGGGAATCGGTAATAAAGGAAACTTACCCTGGCATCCGAAAAGACTCAGGTAAACAGTGTAGAGGTCCAAATGTCCGATTTGTATGTCATTTTCCCCTGTGCTTGAAATGAATGTCATTTTCCGTACACATGAATTAATCACTGTAATTAATAACATTACATTTCATTTCGTAAATTTGATATGTGCCTAATAAGCGAATAAGTGCCTAATGTGCAACATCTTGTAGTGTGTTTAAGTGTTATTTTTTAGTCAGTTTTATGAAACATTAAGTTAAACTGCTGACGTTGTCATCGATTCTTGTCATTAACTATTTTGGCATTCAAAGCAACATTTTCACACAAATCTACTTTGGTTTCATAAACATTTTTGCTTTTTATGAAATGTTTTTCTTTCAGTAATGAATTCAAATACTTCCAGAGGATGACCATGACTGCTTCAGAAGGTATGATACCAAAAGTGAAATACCTATGACCAGTAGCCTAGTCTTTGAATAGAAACCTTTTGCGTTATTGTCTGCTTGCCATTATAAAAAACTACTTGTATTGGTATATATATTTTGAAACGCAGTACTCCCACTCTATTCAGAACTTTTTCTTCCCTTTCGATAATCTAGGCATTTATTAGAGTTGATAGTTGGTCACCAGACTTTTTCCACTCTGAGCTTTGTTTTGATGCCATTGGTTTGCTAATTTAAATTATTAAAGTATGGAGTTACCCATTTACTAACCTGCTGCAGGCAAGATAAGAGCACAGATCTACAGGGTGATACGAGTGTGGACTTTGAGTATATGTCATATCAGCCCTACAGAAAAACAGAACAAAGTCTTAATGATAATAAGGCAGAGATATCTAGGGGCTCAACTGATATCTTGGCTGCTTGATAAAATCATTTGATATTGATTTTGAATTAACCCAAAAACAGGCACCAGAAGAGAAATAAAAAAAACATCCACATCCTGTTCTCTACATGAAGTGTGCAAACCAAATATAGGCCTACAATGTAGAAGTGACCAGAGTCCAGAAAGGGTTTTGCAAATGTAGCCCGTAATCATATACTGTCATCCATAACAGTTGTTATTGATGGGCTAGAAACAGAAATATTGTACAGGTGCGCCTTGTCTTACAATAAGGTTACGTTCCAATTAACCCATTGTAAGTGGAAAATACTGAAAGCTGAATATAAGTTAATAACTACCTTCACTGAATAAGTAAATACTTGAATGAATACAGGTTTATTGATTAAACACAGGAAAAAAAACACTGTAGTAAATGTTGTTAAACACTGTATGAGATGTTTATGTTCGTGATCGCTGCAGAGAGGAGAAGCAGGGCTGCATGGATGCTGTCATCATCCGGCATCCATGGAAAGTATCGTATGGTGTATCACTAAGTATCGTATGGTGTATCACTAAGTATCGTATGGTGTATCACTAAGTATCGTATGGTGTATCACTAAGTATCGTATGGTGTATCACTA